TTTTTTTTTTTTTTTTTTTTGGTATTTGCGCTTGCAAGGCAGGCCACTGAACCATTGAGCTAAATCCCCGGTCCTAGATATCCTTTTTGACAGGCAACACTACACTATCATAATACTGTCTCTTTATGTGTATATGAAATTTACCTTTTACTAGCAACTGAGATTAATTATTTTCTGGCACCCAGCATAATGAGCCTGTCAAAAACTGTATAATAAGACAACAGTTTTATTATTTAACAATTTACTTTGAATTTCTAAGAAGTCTGTTCTCTGTTTTGCAAGACTTTGACATTATATTTAACTGGAAAGTAAAAAATTAGACACGTGATTGAGATTAAATAAGAACTATCTATTTGAGCTGATCAGTTGTGGGGTATGTGTTATAATCGGAGTTTATCCACTAGTGTTGTCCACAGCAGTTTATCCTTATGTACACTAAGCAAAAGCTCCCTCTAAAGATTAATTAATGTTACTATAACCTAGGGGGTCCCCCTCCCGCCTGTTGCATAGAAAGGGAGAATTAGACATAGCATGCTTTTGGAAAGCAAACAGGAATTGTTTGGAATGATTTAATCTTTTGTTGTTGTTCGCTTGTGGCTCTACATTCCTGGTGAATGATGAATGTTGCCATCAAAAGGTTGTCCGTCCTCTACCCTACAGGGCATCTGATGGCAGGAAGATTAAGGTAGACTACGATGGGATTTAAAACGTAGTCCAGTGAACCCGATGATGAAGTCAAGAACAGGTTCACTGTTGTAAATAAGACTGGTTTGGAGTAGTGATATTAGACTCATCCTAATTTATGAAGAGATTAATCTCTCCGCGCATAGTTTTAGACAAAAAAGGTTTCAATAAAAAATTTCTGTCTTGTAATATAAATGTTGTCCACTTCACTTTTTCATAGGCCTAGAACAATGAAAAGGAACATTTATTTAGGCTATCAAAGATACGAACTGGGTCAAAACTTTTAGTTCATCCTGTAGTGAATTAGAGGATTTGGCAACTAGGTATATTTACATTCCTTTCTTTTATTCCCTTAATGTTTCTTAATCTTCTTCTTTTTTTTTTTTTGGTCCTGGGGATCGAACTCTGGGCCCCTGTGCTTGCAGGGCAAGCAGTGAAACCACTGAGCTAAATCCCCAGCCCCTTCTTAATCTTCTTATAAAAGCTAATGTGAACAATAGGGAAACAAGGACCCAAATGCATATGTTTCTTTGCACTTTTGCACCATTCCACCTACTTAATACAATAAACATTTGAAAAGCTTTTAGAATCAGTTTTTTTTTTGTACCAGGGATCAAACTCAGTTCCTTGCGCTTGCAAGGCACGTGGTGGCACCACTGAGCTAAATCCCTGGCCCTTGTAGTAAGTTTTTATGAATTAACAGTCTAATAAAGTATCAGGTAATCTACTGTCACGGGAAAAATTGAGATTTGCAAGAAGACTGGAGACCGGATGAAGGTTGGTTGAGGGGTGGAAGAGGATTGGTGGGTGCTCCCTTTCTTTGAAAAATGGCAAAGCCATTAGGATGGCACAGTAGCCTAAATAGCGTCAGATAATTCCCTGATTCTGGTCGTTTCAGCTCTAAATCATAGTTGACTTTGATATATCATTAGTAACACTGCAGGAAAAAAGTATTGATTACATAAAATTTTTGAATTTGGGTAAAATAAAGTGACTTTCTATGTGATCCAGCACACAGAATTAACAGGAATGTAGCACAGAGCCAACAGGAATTTGGCTAGAATTGGTGGCAGTTGCCAAAAAGGTTCTGTTAGATAGTCCTAATAAGCCTATTCACAGAATCTTCCTTATCTATGCCCTGATTATCTTTGGGGGAACCATGGTCTAGGACAGTGGTTCTTAACTATGGAAACACATTAGAAACTTTTAAAAAACACTGATATCTTCACCTCTCCTGCAAGATTCTAATTTCATTAGTCTGGAGTGTAGCTTGGACACATGAATTCTTGTTTTAAATTTTTCTTCAGTACTGGGATCAAACTCAGGACCTTGAGCTTGTGAGGAAATCATGGCACCAATGAGCTACATCCCAGGCCCTTGGACACATGAATTCTTTTAAAGCTCCAGCTGATTCTTACATGCAGTCATGTTTGAGAACTATTGGTTTGGATGTCAAATACTCCTGGAGTGCAAAAGACCTAGGGGAGACCAGGGAGGGATTTAGCTCAGTGGTTCTCCCACCTGCCTCGCAAGTGCAAGGACCTGAGTTTGATCCCTGGTACCAAAAAGAAAAGAAAAGACCTTGTCTAAAAAAATAAAAATTAAAAAATTGTCAGGTAATCTTCCCAGGTTATCTGCAAAAGTGAAAAAGGAGCATCAATTGCATGCATGCAAATATGGTCATATTAACAGTGAGAGGCGGTGTGATTAATAAGCATGGCCTTTGTCTTCTCACAGATTCAGATTTGAGCAATACCCACTTGTTGCAGGGTGAAGTTGGGCAACTCATGTCTCAGTCTTTCCTCAAGGGTCATAAATGCTATTTTGAGGGTTGTATCAAATGAGACGATCCATATAAAATACAAAACTGCCGGGTGTGGCCGTGCTGCCAGTAATCCCAGTGCTTGGTGGGGGCTGAGGCACAAGTGTCGCAGGAGTTTGAGGCCAGCTTGGGCTACGTAGTTCAAGGCCAGTTTCAATTACACAGTGAGACTCTGACTCAAAAAAAAAAAAAAAAAATCAAAACAAAAAATTACCCAGATAAGTACACCTTCAGAGACAAAGCTAGTGGCCTGCAAGAATGCAATCCCAATACTTCCCTGCACGGTAGTCACTATGACACCCCCCCACACACACACAAATTCCAAGGGGCCACAACTTCACCATCTGGGCTATGCACAGTGAAGATCGGTACTCTTGTCTTCAAATTGGATCTGATCATGAGGACACTAGACTCCTAACGCACATATCCCTCAAGGCCAGATTTAAATTATAAAGGGTAGGTGATAGGGTGTAGCTTTCTGGAGGAGGGGTGGAAGAGCAGAAACAGAATGAGTTAACTTAAATCCCCTGAGTTTTGCCCTTTACTTTTTTTGTTTGTTTTTTGAGAAGGGGTCTCACTATTAGTTGAGGCTGACCTGGAACTCATTATGTAGCCCAGGCTGGTCTCGATTTCACAACGATCCTCCTGCCTCAGCCTCCTGAGTTCTGGGATTATAGGCGTGCTCTACCATGCTCTGTTTATGCCCTTTAGTTTTTCTCTGGTTTGAAGGCGAAAAGCTCACGGTGCAAACCCTGGGAAACGATGCAATTGCGAGATTATAGAGCTCAAAAGCGTTTGCAAGCCGGGGATTTAGCTCAGTGGTTCCAGCGCCTACCTTGCAAGCGCAAGGACTTAAGTTCGATCCCTAGTACCAAAAAGTAAATAACTAAATAAATAAGCGTTTGCAGGAGCTTTTTCTCTGACAACCTTCAAGCAAGAAAAACCCTTAACCTCTGCAAGGTCTCAAAAGCCAACTATAGCTAAAAGCCAGTTTAAAGTCAGCCGCGAATCGCCACTAAAGGCACCGCCCCGCAGGAGTCCGGGCGTGCACGCGCGCGTGCGAAAAGGCTGCTGGGAAGCCGCCTCTTCTCTCCCGGTCTTCCAGTTTCCCGGCGTGCTTCGGGCCCGCCAAATGGGAGGGGGAGACGCAAGATGGCGGCAGCCGCGAACTCCGGCTCTAGCCTCCCGCTTTTCGACTGCCCGACCTGGTGAGTGGCGGCGAGGCGGTCGAGACTGGAGACCTGGTTTTA